CTTTGGTGGCAATGGTGTACATGAGGTGACTGGCTGCTGCTGGAGGATAGGCACCAAGCCCCTCCCTCTTCCCCATGTTCCTTCTTTCCTACCCTCTGTCTCCGAGGGCCATTGGTTGCCTGGGACAAAGAGTCATTAATAACTGTCTGTTGAATAAATATATGAAAAATATTCTCTTAATAGTTATAAGCATAATAGACAATGAAAGCAGTTCAAAATTAAATTGTTATAAATTGCAATGCTCATGTACAATTAGGCAACACACATTAAAAATATTTTTGCCTTACTTCTAATAAGAGAAATACAAGTTTTAGGATTTACATATTGCCACGTTTTCCCTTTTTGATTTTTCTTTTTACTATTCTTCTTTCTTTCTCTTATAAGGTAGGATAGCACCTAATGGTTCAGAAGAGTCTTTCATGAAAGTTTTAGTACGACATAGGGACAGATAAGGATGGCCAGTAGAGAAATTGTTAATACTGGCCCTGTGTTTATCTGCTCTCGAAGGGTTTTAGTCTCCCAGCTTGGTGTCATCTGTTGATACTTTGAATTGGACCAGAGTCTCTAATTCTTCTTTATGTACCTACTCTAGCTCCCTAATTCTGGTTCATTAGCAAACATATCTTTCTTGGTGCTCCCTCCTCTTGGAGATTAATCTAGTATTTACCTTGTTCATGTCTGTGATGTTGACTAATGAGAAGGGGGTCTCATAAAAGAGGAACATATACTATCCCGATGGCTGACTTTTTAAAATTGAGATATAATTGACCTATAACATTATATTAGTTTAAGGTATACAATATGATTTGATATTTGTATATAGTGAGAAACAGATGACCATCACAGTAAGTCTAGTTAATATTCACCTCCATACACAGGTAAAGAAATTTACTTTCTTGTGATGAGAACTTGCAAGATCTACTCTTTTAGCAACTTTCAAACATACAATACAGTATTATTAACCACAGTTGTCATATTGTACATTGTATTCCCAAGATTTATTCATTTTATAAGTAGAAGTTAGTACCTTTTGACCCACTTCACAGTTTCACCCTCGCCCCCCACTTCTGGCAACCACCAATCCATTCTTTGTATCTGTGAGTGGTTTTTTGTTTTGTTTTTAGATTCCACATATAAGTAAGATCATATGGTATCTATCTTTCTGTCTCACTTAGGATGATGCCCTTAAGATCCATCTATGTTGTCAGAAAAATTTTTGATAAAATTTCTTCCTACAAAAACCAATGTACAGAGTGGGGCAAAAGTAGGCTTACAGTTGTTCATATGGAAAATAATACAATAATAAATAATAATAGAAAGATAAGCTCTGTGTTCTGCATACTCACAACTATAAACCTACTCTTGCCCCACCCTATATGGTCACAACAGAAAAATACAGATTAAAAGGAAAATGAACATTTATATCACTCACCTAGACAACCACAGTTAGTCTTTACATATAAACAGATGAACACAGAGAACCCCAAATTTATGTATGATACTTTATGTTCATTTATTATAAAAAATAATTTATATTATGTATACTATGTATTTCCCCCCAATTTGGCAGATTCCAAAAGAATCCTTCCATGTCAGCAGTTATGTTTCTGAAATAATTAATAATGGCTGTACAATATTTCATAGATATGTAGATAAACCCTAACTTCTTTCTTTTCAAAATCAGTTTTAGTAAACAATCCCTTACTCAAAAACACTATGACTACTTCTAATTTTTTTGAAATGATTATTCAAGCAAATAAAAGAGTGGGTATGGTCAAAAAGTCACTCCAAAGTTTAAATCTAAATCTCGATAACTGAGAAAAGGAATTACAATATGAAAATCTTTGACAACTATACTTGATAGTCACCAGCAAAAACAATCTGCCATCTGAAAGCCTTTATTTTGTAAAGAAAAAATGAGAGATAGACATTTATAAAGCTTCATAAATTGTCCACCAAAAATTACCAAAGCTTATAGCAGATGTAGTTTCTGGACTGATAGTATGAATATACTCATTCATTTCACTTAAAGATCTTTGTAAACATATCACAAAACTGAAAACACGTAAAAATTAACTCCATATGACAACAGCCCAACAGACTGAAATAAATGAAAAAAACAGAAAAATACCTGCAACATGTGACAGTTAATTAAAATTCCTTCTTTTTTTTAGTATGTAAGAAAAATTTATTAGTGATATGTTCTCATGGAAGATAATGGGCCTAGCCCAGGTGTGTTGAGAAAGGCAAAGGTACTTGGTCTCTTTGTCCTGAGGCCTTATATAATTTGTGGGGTGGGATGAGGAAATTACTTATCAATTTGGTGAGAGAAGGTGGGGAATACTCCTCCAAGGGAGGGCATGACCTCCTGACCTCCTAAGCACAACTGTGGGTGGAGGTCTGTTAACTCAGATTTTTATCTTGCTCCAGCACAACCTCTTGTTATCCTGTTAAAAACAGATATATGAGCTTTTCCTGCAAGTTCTATGAACCTCCCCTCAGCCCCCTCCTTCTCCTAAACTTCTACCTAACATTTCCCCTGGCAAGCATTAGGAACCCAAATATTTGAAGATTTGGGGGTGACAACAGCTCTGACTACCTCCTGCTGTAAAGGGATGTTGAGACTTGTTGGGGTTCCCTCTCCTTGTTAACTATCAATTGGAAGAGGTGGAGGGAAATGAATAATTAATATTTCTTAATATACAAATGAAAAATCAAAATAACTCCCTAAGAGCTAAATGGCAGAAGACATGAAAACACAATTTGCAAAATAAATAAAAATGAGCAGACAAACATGAAATGTGTTGAACCTCAGAGAAATTAAAAAGACTGAAATCCCAGGTTGGTGAGTCTGCCCATGCAGGAAAACAATGTAATTCAGAAGGACAATTTGCAATAAGTATCAAAATATATATCTTTTGAGTCATTAATCTTACTTCTAGGAACTAACCCTAATGAAACAATTATATAAACAAGCATATATAATTATATACTGCAGTATTGCTTATCATGTAAGATAAAGAAAACAAATCAACTGTCTATGAATGGAGAATCAGTGAAATAAATTATGGTATACAGATACATACAACAGAATAGCATGTAGCTATTTTAAAAAATGTCAATAGTAAACCTACATTCATTTGTGTTGAAAGTCATCCATGACACTGTGAGGCTCTCAAAATGAGGGAGTTAGAGTATAGAATATATGATATGATCTTCTTAATGTCAAATAGTTACATAGATTGTTACACAGAAATATCTGAAAGGATGGTCACCAAAAAGTTAACAGTGGACTTCATCGATTTTTCACATATATCAGAATAGTTTTCTAGATTTAAAATACAATAATAAACATGTGTCATTGTTATAAAAATAGAGACTCATAAATTATGACAGACTCAACTGTTTTATTCCCAACAACATGAATTTTATTTATATCTAGTTTGACTATCAAGGCCAGCTGGCTATTTAATGTCTGCTTTGTTACTTTGGTAAACGCAGCATAAGAAAAAATCTGTCTGGTCTGAGTCCTGGGTTCCTGGCAGAAGCTTCAGAAACCCTGGGAATTTCCTGAGTGATACTGTCTTTGTCATGTTATTGAGGTGAGTCCTAATGGGCCCCTAGACAGCTTCAGCATTGGAATTTTTAGCCATTGAACTCCAGGGAGTAAAAGGAGGTCTGAAAATGATGTGGCCAATGTTCCAATCAGTGATGCCTGTGTATGAAGTCCCCCAAAAAACTTTAGACACCAAAGGTCAGTGGAGCTTCCCGGTTGGTGAACACAATGATATTCTGGGAGAGTAACTGCCCTGACATCACAGGGAGAGGATACGGAAGTTTTGTTTCTCTCTCAGATCTCACCTGATATGTATCATTTATAATAAAATTGTAATAGCACCTTCCTGAGTTCTGTGAGTCACTCTAGCAAATTATTACACCTGAAGAGAATTGTGGGAACCTCCCAACTTGTAGCCAGTTGGTCAGAGTTATGTGTGGCCTGGAGAACACCCTCCCCCACCTCAGACTTCTGGCTAGTCTGAAGTAGGGCTGGTCTTGTGGAGGACTTTGCACTTAACCTGTGAAGTCTACTCTCACTCCAGGTACTCAGTGTGAGGATTACACTTGTACTGCAATATGCCCAGTTGGTGCCAGACCAGTTGGGCTGACACAGAACAGTAACCATTCTAAGTAATAATACAATTTTCTGTTAACTATACTTTTGAGGGTAGAGGAGATGTCACAATCTAGTAAATGGCCAACAGCTCTATTGATCAGGTTTTATGGTTTTTATCCCACAAACAACAAAATACAAGAAATGTTTATCCTTCTTGGGTACCCAAATGCCTCCTTAGCTGTGCCATTCATACAGCTCTAACAAGCATTACTCCCATACACTGTGTTCCTCTAGAAAAGCACTTATTAGCATGTGCTGCATTTGTCCATCTCTCTGTCATTTACTAAACTGAATTCCAAAGCAGGAACCACATGTTATTCACCTTGTATTCTCAGAGCCAACCATACTGTCTGGTCTTGAGCTTGGTTTTGAGGCCAGCAACCTCAGTGTCTATCTTCCTGTCTGTCTGGGTGACAGTCTGATCTTGCTGGGCCAAGAACACAGCATATGTCTTATCATTTTGGTGAATGAATGACTGAGTCAACAATATAGTTCTGTACACAAAAAAATCACTTCCATAAAGGAACTTATTTCTGTGGGTGCTTTGGTTTGAAACTTCCTAGCCATTTTAAATTTTTCTCTCTATTTAAGTAAATACTGTGGTAGATCAGAGAAATAAGTAACTTCTTAAGGGAAGGGAAATAATAAATAAAAATAAGAATTCCTTTAACACAATAAAATAAAAGAGGGTGGTGTCAAATATTCTTCTCTACTCTTAGACCTTTGTGGTCTCTTACTATGATAGAACTTTAGAAATCCAGTTTGAAGGTCTAACTTTTCTTTCTAGTCCGAAAGCTATTATTCTTTTGACAACTTAACCACCTACCTTTTAATCTAGCATCACCTCCAAAGGCACCACAGCCCCAGTTTCCTGTGGCTACTGCAGAAAGATTCTCTGAAGGAACTCCAGGACGGAGAAATCCACAGTAGGCCTGAAGGATGAAAGAAATTTCAAAGCATATGAGTTATCAGACACTAGTAGTCTTTCTGACTACACGTAATTGGATCTTTCTCCATTAACAAACTTATGTTACCCCTCTCTCTTTTTTGTCCTTAGGGGTCAAAATAGAAGGAAAAACAGAGAATTGTGCATTATACAGAGAGTAAGAAATGATCAATTCTAATATTTATTTGCTTTGATGCTGGACGAATCAAAGCCTTTAAACCAATACAGGTCTCAGTTCCTTTTTTATTTTATTCAAAGACATATAAATAGAAATATCAGAGATATTCCAAAAACTGATAATATTACAATTACAAACTACTAGGAACTAACTAAAGGAAGGAGAGACACTTCAGACACTTTTATTTGAAGGCTTAAAAAAGATTTTATTTATTTATTTTTAGAGAGAGGAGAAGGAAAGGAGAAAGAGAAGGAGAGAAACATCAATGTATGAGAAAAACATCGATTAGCTGCCTCTTGCACACACCCCAAACAGGGACCTGGCCTGCAATCTAGGCATGTGCCCTGATCAGGAATTGAACTGGCAAGCTTTTGCTTTGCAGCATGACATCCAACTAACTGACAGTCTGGGCTATTTGAAGGCTTTTATTCACCATTCTTTTCATTAAGGTAAATAGTCATTACAATTATACTTCCTCAGCCTTCTTTCTCTGAATTATTGGAAATAGATTAATTAACTGTGAACAGCTTTATTTTTAAAATTACTGATTTCTGAGACAGAGAGAGAGATTGATTTATTGTTCCACCTATCCATGCATTCACTGGTCGATTCCTGTATGTACCCTGACCAGGGTAGAACCCATGACCTTGGCAAATTGGAACAACACTCCAACCAATTGAGCTACCCAGCCAGGGCTATGAATAGCTTTTAAAAGTGCTTCCTACCACTAAAATGCTTAACAATGAACAAGCAACTAATTACAAAAGGGATTCCTATACCTAACTGCAAAATAACCTTAAGATCCATTCCAGCTCCAAGATTTTCTAGTTTCACAGCTCTGTTTTAAACTAGAATATTTAAAAATATTTCTCAGTAACCTGAGAAAACGACAATATATCCTGAGAATGCTGGTTATGTACTAATTACATGAAGAGTTCATTTTATATAAGAGAAGACTGCAGTTTAAGGTTCCAGAGTTTCTGATTTTCACTTCTTTTGCTGTGAGCCTAGTTGGTCTTTCTGCTTCCTAAAGGTTGTTACTTTTCTAAAATTATCAGACTATAAAAGAAAAATAAAATATCTAGGACTAAACCTAACCAAGGATGTAAAAGACCTGTATGCAGAAAACTACACAACACTGAAGAAAAAAATCAAGGAAGACACAAACAAATGGAAATATATACCATGTTCATGGATCGGAAGAATTAACATCATCAAAATGTCCCTACTACCCAAAGCAATTTACAGATTCAATGCAATACCTATTAAAGTACCAATGGCATATTTCACAGACATAGAACAAATACTTCAAAAATTTATATGGAACCATAAACAACCCCGAATAGCTGCTGCAATTTTGAGAAAGAACAACAAAGAAGGAAGGATCACAATACCTGATACCAAAATGTATTACAAGGCCACTGTAATCAAAACAGCCTGGTACTGGCATAAAAACAGGTACATGGACCACTGGAACAGAACACAGAGCCCCAAAATAAACCCAAGTCTCTACAGTCAATTAATATTTGACAAAGGGGGCAGTAACATAAAATGGAGTAAAAATAGCCTCTTCAACAAATGGTGCTGGAAGAACTGGACAGCTACATGCAAAAAAATGAAACTTGAGCACTAACTTACACCATACGCAAAAATAAATTCAAGGTGGATAAAAGATTTAAATATAAACTGTGACACCATTAAAGTCCTAGAGGAGAACATAGGCAGGAAAATCTCAGATATTTCACGCAGCAACGTTTTTACTGACATGTCCCCTAGAGCAAGGGACATAAAAGTAAGAATAAACAAATGGCATCTCATAAAATAAAAAGCTTCTGCACAGCTAAAGAAAACAGTATTAAAATCAAAAGAGAACCAACCATATGGGAAAACATATTTGCCAGTGATCCCTCAGACAAGGGTTGAATCTCCAAAATGTATAAAGAACTTACATGACTCCACTCTAAGAAGACAAGCAACCCAATTAAAAACTTGGCAAGGGACTTGAACAGACACTTCTCCAAGAAGGACATACAGAGGATCCAGAGACACATGAAAAGATGCTCAGTACCACTAGCTAGCAGAGAGATGCAAATGAAAACCACAATGAGGTACCACTTCACACCAGTCAGAATGGCCATCATAAACAAAGCAGCAAACAAGTATTGGAGAGGTTGTTGAGAAAAGGGAACTCTAGTGCACTGTTGGTGGGATTGCAGACTGGTACAACCACTATAAAAAACAGTATGGAATTTTCTCAGAAAACTAGAAATGCATCTGCCTTTTGACCCAGCAATTCCACTGCTGGGATTATACCCTAAGAATCCTGAAACACTAATCCAAAAGAACCATGCACCCCAATGTTCATAGCAGCACAATTTACAATATCCAAGTGCTGGAAGCAACCTAGGTGCCCATCAGTAAATGAGTAGATCAAAAAACTATGGTATATTTACACAATGGAATTCTATGCAGCAGAGAAAAAGAAGGAGCTCCTACCCTTTGTGACAGCATGGATGGAACTGGAAAGCATTATGCTAAGTGAAATAAGCCAGGTGGTGAAAGACAAATACCGTATGATCTCACCTTTAACGGGAACCTAAACAACAAACAAACAAACAAACAAGCAAAATATAATAGAGAACAGCCTGACAGTGACCAGAAAGGAGAGGGGAAGGAATTTCAGGGGAAAAGGGGAAGAGTATACAGGAACAGGTATAAAGGATACATGGACAAAAAGTAGGGGGGGTGGTAATGGGAGCACGGTGTGGAGGGATGGGTGGGTGGGCTGGGATGGGAATAAAGGACAGAAAACTATAGTTGAACAACAATTAAAATAAAATTAAAAGAAAAAGAAAAAAAATTAGTCACATGACATTCACCAATGACAGAGCTACTTATTTTTTTATTACTGTTTTTACTAATAAACAACTTTGAACAGGGAAATAAGAACTCACTGATACCTCAGAACAGTAAATGGAAGTTATCTATGAATACTCATATGTCAGAATGAGTTTTCATTGAAAGGGAAGATGAGAGAGAGAATAAAGTTAAATTTACAGTCCCAAAAGTTTCAAAAGAGAGCCTTAAGAAATAAGAGGCAGGAGGAAAATACTGGTATCTAGAGTTAAAAACTAGTACCCAACCAGGAAGTGGTGAAGATAGAGATGTAGGAAAAAAACAAAGAAAACAGTTATAAAAACCTACAGGCCCAGAAATGGGTCCAAGAAATAGATGGTACTGGGGGAAATGCTTGTCACAAACATTTACACACAGACATGCATGAACACATGCATACTTAAGTACAAACTCAATCTCCAACATAATTTCAGTAGACTCAGGTAGATATAATTAAACTATGCCTTTCACTATACTGTAAATACATTATATTGTTTACTAGATTAATATTCAGTAATTTAATAAATATGGATTGTTGGCTTCCAGCCAAGATGGATGCACACGTAGATATACTTTGCTTCCTTGCACAACCAAAAGAAGGAAAACAGGAAATTTAAAAACAAAAAACAACCAGAGCTGCCAGAAAATTGAACTATATAGAAGTCCAACAACCAAGGACTTAAAGAAGAAACATTTGTCCAGACAGGTAGGAGGGGTGGAGACAGCAGATGGGCAAATAGGAATCACACTACATGGTGGCTGGCTGGAGGATGGGGAAAGGGAGTGGCTGGCAGAGTGGGTGATCCCATATATGTCTGTGGATAAGCCGGGAGGAGCAACTGGGGAATGAGACAGACCATGCAACCCAGGGTTCCAGTGCGGAAAAATAGAGCCTCAAAACCTCTGACTGAAAAAGCCTGTGGGGGTTGAGATGGCAGGAGAAACTCCCAGCCTCAAAGGAGAGTTTCTTGGAGAGACCCACAGAGTCCTAGAATGTACACAAGCTCAACCACCTGGGAATCAGCACTAGAAGGGCCCAATTTGCTAGAGGGTAGGGGAGGAAGTGACTGAAAGCTTGCCAAGAGCTGAGCAAGCAGCATTGTTCCCTCTCCAACCCCTCCCCAACATACAGTACCACAAAGCAGCGACAGGGGTTGCCCTACCCAGGCCAATATCTAAGGCCCCTTACTACGTTACAGGCACTCCGAGACAAAAAAATATGGCCCAAATGAAAGAACTGATCAAAAGTTCAAAAACAGAACTAAGTGACCAAGAGATAGCCAATCTATCAGTTGCACAGTTCAATACGCTGGTAATCAGGATGTTCACAGAAATGGTTGATGATGGTTGCAAAGTAGAGGAAAAAGTAAAGGCTATGAAAAATGAAGTAAAGGAAAATGTACAGGGAACCAACAATGAAGGGAAGGTACCTGGGACTCAAATCAATGGTTTGGACCAGTAGGAAGAAATAAACACTCAACCAAAACGGAATGAAGAAATGAGAATTCAAAAATATTGAGGAAAGTTTAGGAACCTTCGGGACAACTTTAAACATTCCAACATTCAAATCATAGGGGTGCCAGAAGGAGAAGAGGAAGACCAAGAAATTGAAAACTTATTTGAAAACACAATGAAGGAGAACTTCCCTAATCTGTCAAAGGAAACAGATTTCCAGGTAGCTCAAAGAGTACCAAAAAAGTTAGACCCAAGGAAGCACACTCCAAGGCACATCATAATTATATTACCCAAGAGTAAAGATAAGGAGAGGATCTTCAAAGCAGCAAGAGAAAAGGAGGCAGTTACTGACAAAGGAGTTTTGGTAAGACTGTCAGCTGATTTCTCAAAAGAAACCTTATAGGCAAGAAGGGCTGGAAAGAAGTATTCAAAGTCATGACAGGCAAAGGACCTACATC